GGTTTTGGGATGCGGTTGGGGGAGAGGAGATTTTGAAGCTTGTGAAGCCCACATTGATACCATTGGGCTGCAGGGTTCCCAAGCGAAATATGAGGTGCTGTTCCTGCAACCTTCGGGTGGCATCGTTGTGGCACTGCAGGAGGCCCGGGATGGACATGTTGTCTGAGGAATGGGAGGGGGGAGTTGAAATGGTTCGCGACTGGGAGGTGCAGTTGTTTAGTGCGAACCAAGCATAGGTGTTCCGCAAAGCAGTCCCCAAGCCTCAGCTGAGATAAATGTAGAGAGGTTATGTTTCAATTGTGCGGGGCATTGGTGAGACCATATCTGGTGTACTGTACATTGTACCGGCCACCTTATTTATTGCAGGAATTAAATGGCAGTTCAGAGAAGGTTTGCTAGACTAATACCTGGAAGGGAGAGCTGCCTTTGGAGTAAAGGTTAGACAGGCTAGGCTTATAACCACTGGAGCTTAGAAAACTAAGAGGCAAATTGATTGAAATACATAAAATCCTGAAGAGTTTTGGCAGGGTAAATGTGGACATGATGTTTCTGCTCATGGAAGATTCCAAAATTAGGGGTCACTCTTTAAAACGTAGGGTTTACCCATTTCAAACAGAGTTTGGGCAAATTTTTTTTTCTCTTGAGGGTTGACAGTCTTTGGAACTCACTTCTTGAAAAAGGCAGAGGTGGAGAGAGTCTTGTTGAGCAAGGGGTGAGATGTTATTGGGAATTGGCAGGAGTAGGGCTTTCATGTTACAATCAGATCGGCATGATGTTGCTGAATAACCTACTGGCCCTGATTCGTGTGTTCATCACCTTTACTCTAGAATTAATCTTTGCTGTACCTGAGCTGTGAGTGTGTAATGCAGTCGGTTCTGACATAACGCGTGTTGTTGCAATGCGATTGAAGAATTATGGAACGCTATTTGTAGAACGCAAACTTTCCTTACCTGTATCGGTTACAATGCGATTCCATCCCCATCATTTTAAACGTCGCGGTTATTGCATGATTTTCTAATAACGCGAGATCGCATAAGAACAGAACTATCGCATTATATCAGAATCAATTTGTGGGCAGTCTAGACGAAGTTCTGCTCTGCCTCTGACCGGTGCTATACCAGCTTGACGTTCACGCTGAATATCTGAAATACAAAGTTCTGCATTTCCTACACAAATAATTAAACAAAATTCAACAAATTAAACAAAACAACCTTCATGAGAAAGGGAGAAAAAAAAAATCATAACCTCTCGTGGAGTGCATTCCTAATCCAGCGCATCAAGTGTATGAACATGCTTAGGCTTTATAAACAAATAATTAAAACAACGGCAATCTGTGAGCTGCGATTATCTCACTGACTGCGTGTAGTTGTCACTGTTAACTAGGATTCTCGTGATAGTGTCCCTACCTCTGGGACAAGACTTCTGCGCCCAAGTCCCACCTGCCACATGTCTTAATGGATTGATTTTTTAAAAAAATACTTACTGATTGTGTACATTGTCGCTTTTTTATTTTGGGCAAGTACGGCAAAGGCAATTATTTTATACACCAACTTTTATTGAAAGCGACTTTAACCCATTGATTAAAAACCGAAAGAACTGCGGGTGCTGTCAATCAGGAACAAAAGCAGAAGTTACTGGAAAAGCTCAGCAGGTCTGGCAGCATCAGTGAAGCAAAATCAGAGTTAACGTTTCGGGTCCAGTGACCCTTCCTCAGAACTGGGGTTTTTCAGCAACTTCTGTTTTTATTACCTATTGATTTGTAGGGTGACAAGGGCACAAGACAAAAGGCACTGCTAACTGGCTTGCGTGTACTGGGAGTGCCTGGCTTTGATCTGCTGTGTATGTAGTAAGATTGTCTCCAGTTGAATGAATCATATATTATTGTGCTTCAAGCACAATAGAGTCACTTCTTACGCATTTACACACTGCTTGGGGCCAAACATAAATCTTTTGTGTGTCTGTTAGTCAGCCCTACCAGCAGCTTGTGTTACCATCAATTCTCGTTTGTGTGTCCTCGCTTGGAATGCTGACTACTACATTTACTTATTGTTCCAGATTTAACTTTTATTTCATTAAATCGCAGCTGTGAGTTTTGTATTTCTTTTAAAGGCCACTCTGGAAACTTTGATTCTGACTATGAAGTTCAGCCGTATAAAGCCTCTCTAATACACTGCCAGTTACAAATGTCAGACTAAAATCGAGGAGAATGAACCAAACTACAGCCAGTGAATGTGGCAGTGCGGTATGACAGTTAACAGGATTGACAGAGAGGGTACCACAGTACCTCACAGAAGAATGACACAGTCCTCACCCATAACCTAAGCCTTCAAAGTACCTAAATCCACCGAATTATATTCTCCCTTCTGCTTCTAAATTCTTTTTATTTTAAATTTTTTATTAAACCTATTTTTCTAATCAACCTGCTGGGAGATGTGATTACATACCTTTGGAGTAGGTGGGACTTGAACCCGGATCTCTTGATCCAGGGGTCGGGAACTCCCTCCTTTAGCTAAAGGTTTGTAAAGGATTGATTCATGGAGCTGCTTTCCAGAACCTCAAAGTGCCCTACAGCTAATTAAATAGTTTTGAATTGCAATGAGCTTTGTATTAAACAAACAGACACTTTCTGCTTAGACTCCTACAATCAACAGTGAAATAAGTGGCTGGGTAATCATTTGTTACCAATGATGGATGAGGGATTAATTTGTCTAGGGCATCAAGAGACATCAACAGAAAATGCCAGAAATGCTCAGCAGGTCTTGGCAGCATCTGTGGAGAGAGTGAGAGAGTTAACATTTCAGGTCTGTGAACTTTCACCGAAGCTGTCAAGTGCTGACTTATTCCATTTCCTTGTCGTAGTATTTCCTGCTTAGAAGAGTAGATCATTTTACTGAAAAAAAGATTGTGCAGTATTCCTTTCCATTTTGTCCTTGGTAGGAATTAATAGCAATTATGTGATAATTCACAGAAAGCTATCACATACAAAATCTCAACTAATGCCATAAAAACAAAGGAAAAACTCAAAGATAAAGCCAATCAGCTATCGGTCACCATTTTGAAATAATTGAATATTTAGACTTGAACGCATTCAGGTTATTTATTTGCTGTAATTCAGTATGAAAACAGTTAATCGCATGTAGGAGAATTAAACCTAATAGCCGGGACGAACAGAATTGTGGTTCTCACAGACCATAACAGTTTGAGACAAGTACGTTCATTCATACAGAGAGGATGCTGGATGAGTAAATGATTGTCTCCTACTGAGCACAACACAGGGTTGATTGCGTTTGAGCAGACTATTTAAATGGGGTGGATGATTAGAGAGAGAAGATTGACAGCTTATCCTGTCAATATCCAATTCAATGGAGACAGGTCAACAGTCAGCTTCTTGGCTTCCAGTCAATTTAAAATAAAGGCATTTGACTCAAGTTTGAAGTTGGAAGCAGCCAGAAATGCTTTTGTTGTCTAATCAACCCATAAGAAATGCATCAATATCCATTTGGCAGGAAGGTCATCAAAATTGCCTCTCCTACCCTAGAACTGGACTCACTATTGACCGCTGTAGTGTCAGGATAATATATTCTGACTTGTAACCTAACGATTCTCAGGATCATTCTCACATCTTGACGTATCAGTGCAGGAGTCATTTGTAACATTTTTAAATAGAATTTGATACTGTGCCAATGCTAATATTGATTCACAATAAAATCCACAAGAAAATGCTGAAAGCATCCAGCAGGTTGGACAATATCAGTGAGAAGAACAAGTTAATGTTTCAGCTCAGTTGATAGCTGTGCCTTTATTCTAATTTAATCTATTCTTTTTCCCTCCTTGTTCAGGGGCTGAATATTCTGTAGAGGATGCAGAAGGAGATTTACTCTTCTTGATGGACAGTTCTGGAAGTATCTTGCCCTATGAGTTCACTGAATTGAAAGAGTTTGTTGTTGAGTTACTGAAGCCATTCACCATAGGACCCAGCGATGTGCAAGTCAGTTTTGTGCACATTAGTGATGACCCAGTGGTGGAGTTTCCTTTTAACAAATACATGTCGGACACTGCTCTCCAGTGGGCTCTTCTGAACATGAAGCAGAAACTGGGCGATACCAATACCGGCAAAGCAATGATCCATGCCAAAGACACCATGTTCACACAGAAAGCTGGCGCCAGACCAGATGTTCCGAAAGTCCTGGTATGGCTAACAGATGGGGCATCATCAGACGACATATCTGAGCCCATCCAGCTCCTAAAGGACCTTGGAGTTACAATTTTCATCGTTAGCACGGGCAGGGGCAATTACATTGAACTGAAGGCGGCAGCTAGTGAACCATCAGAAAGACACCTGTATTACGTGGATCCGGATGATATGTATGTTATTACTGAGGAGCTGCGTAATGAAATTCTAGGTACATCACTGCTTTGGTCACTACTTCCATTCAATCACTTGCATCTGTGGTATGTTCTCTCCAATCCCTATATCTTCATTTGTCACTGAACGGTCCAGAATCTCCTCAGTCCCCTATGTGCGCAGTTCAGTGACTGTCATGAGAGATTAAGCAGCTCCTAGGACTGTCCATGTGCAGTTCTACAATAACCAGGAGGCAAAATCCCAGGCATTTAGTGCTAGATGCTGTATGTTGATTGGAGATGACCTGCTTGTCTTGAGGTCGTATTGAAAGTTAGAAATACTTTGCATCAAGTATAAGACAAGACTTTTTGATTTCTTCAGTAGTCTATTGATGCGGTTGCAGGCAGTTTTTGTACAAGTCTGTAAATGGAACAGCTGCTGTAACTGGGGATGGAGATTATCCATGCTTCAGTAAATACAGAATCTGTTGGCAGACAATCTCTTATCTCTTATTAATGAGGAGCTTTTATTTGCTTAGAAACATTAATTGAAGAAGTTTATTTACTGATAAATCATGCAGGCATTTAGTTCTTCATTTATCATGTGATTGGAGTCCATGGTAAAAGGGCACAAGTCGATCACTTTAGGATTACACTGCCCACTAAAGTATTCAAGGAAACAAATGTATTTAAGACAACTTTAAGGAGAAATATTTCTGTGCAAAGTTGCAGGAATATTCTAATGAAACAGTTTTTTCCACCATCTGAATTAGGGAGGATGATATTTCTGTAAGCTGCACTATTTTAGATAATATAATTTGAATACCATTACAGCATAATTTGATAACATTTAAGTTAGTTGAAACTATATCTCCCCAGCACAGGCTGTTGTTATCAGATCCTTGAATTACAGTTACTAGGAAGGCTTCTTTAGAGAGAGAAGAAATAGGTTAACTAGAAGGGATGAGGGATGGGAGCAGGTTAGCTTGAGGTGCAAAGAGTAAAAATGTGGATAAGAACTCTATTTATTACTAACCCTGGTATCGCCGGTGTTCCAAATAATATTCAAAAATCATAGGAATATTTTTAAAGTGTAAACAGGAGCTGAGCAAATACCCAGCACAGAACTCGCTGTGTGGAACCAGGTACCTCAAAGACTGATTTCACCTTGGTGTCTTTGGTGAGTTGTATGGAGAATGATTGATTGAAATACATTTAAATTAATGAGCTTTCCTGCTCCTCTGATGCTGCTTGGCCTGCTGTGTTCATCCAGCTCTACACCTTGTTATCTTAAATTAATGAGCATAATAGTTCTTTTCATATCCAGAGTTTAGTGGGTTGTATGATCTGCTGTTGGATTAAGTGTCTCCTGTTCTGAACCACTAAATGAGACAGAGTTGGCTCCATGTGACTTTTTTTTTGAAAGATTGTCGTGGGATATGGCATTACTGATAAGCCCAACATATATTATCTATCTTTCATTGCTCTTCAGAAGGTGGTGATGAGCTACCTCTTAACCATTACAGTTTTTGTACTAAAGGGTCCTTTATATGAGAGTAGGTCTTAAACTGCCAGCTACGTTCCTAAATTACAGACTCATAACTTATACGTAGCTGAACTGCCTTGAAGACATATAACTGGCATTTTAATTCACCTTCAATACAATGATCTTATTTCTCATGTTTTCTTTGCTGTTGGTCTGCAATAGTATGTTATACCATGCACAGGAAAATAGGCTGTTGTATTCACTTAGACTTACAGGACAAGTTGCAGCAGCTCACAATGTAATTGGAGAGAGAGGCATAGAGTTCAAGAGTCTCTGGGTTGGGAGTTTGGCTTCTGTGACAAGTAAATCAAGTAAGAAAATATTCTGATTCACCAAATCTGTCTTGGTAAAAGGTGCTCTGACACACTGTGTTTGCTCTAGGATTTTGGATATGAGACGGAGTCAGACCTGCTGATCCTTGAAGCAGATCACTGGCAGCTGTGGACCCCAGCAATATGTGAATGCAGGCCTGTTAGGAAACCACCTCTAGTCTCTGGGATTTTGTCCTAGTTGTGACAGGTTATTTTAAGCCCTCTCGCCTTCACCTGTCATACCTCCTTGTACTCCATGCACCTCCCATGGGTCCTTATGCCTCCCATGCCATTCCACTGCTAACTCATATTCCCCACCCAACTCCAGGTCTCCTTCACCCACATGCCAACTCACCCAGTATCCACTATGCACACACCTCAGGAGCCAAGAGGAGATGAAATAGAATAAAGTTCTAAAAATTTAATATAGCTCTCGCTAAACAGACTTGATAGTAAAACAAACTCCCTAGTTATGAAAGCCCATTCAAAACTTTTAAATTTCAAGCATTGTGTCACTTTTAAGAACAAGCATATTCTACAATATCCACATTCAAAATCTTTTATTAGACTCTTCAACCTGTCAATCAAATTGTGAACTCCGAACCCTTGCTGAGGTGATTGAGCTTCAGGAACTTGGCCAATCATCATAAAAAGCACTGGGGAATTGTCAACAATCCACTGTTAACATTGCAAGAACATATGCTACACCATCTTGTTTGTTAACCAAAGCAATACAGCAGAGTGTCAGTTCAAAAGTTTCACTGATTATTTGGAAGTTTTATTTTATTGTCTAAAGGTCGGAGGATTGAGGAAATCATCAAAGAATGAAAGTTAGTTCATCCATATTCACCCTTTAAGACCATTTATGTCTATTCCACACATTTTGTGATTCCTGCCATTTGGGGTCAAGGCCCTTGCATCATCCAAAAGCGGGTTTGTTTGAATTTAGCACTTGAATTCACATGGTGCTCCTGGGTCTCCCTTATATGTGAGTCAGACTCCTTCCCCTATCAGCAAAAACTGAATCTTGAAAAATGAGGACAAGACTTAAAAAGAAACCTCCCTCTGTTTGACTCTCTTGCTTAATCAAACAGTAAGGTCAAAGTGCCTTTAGATTATATGAACACTTCACATCAGAAGAATCATCCCCTTTGAGATGCCTATAAGTTGCAAGTTACATCCTTTCCCTTTAATTGTTAATGATGTTTAACTATGGTTCATTGTGTCTGATCTCCAATTTTCCTGAATTGCACGGCAAGGAATTGAAACAGAAAATGCTGTTATTCCAACTGGGATTACTCCAACTATAAATTAAAATTAAAGGATTCTAAAGGTTATTTGTTAGTGGCTTAATTACTCAGCTTTCAGCTAAGTCAAGACACTTGATATTTAATTCCTCCGCCTCCACCATTCTCCCCAGTGCTGACCCTGTTCACAGAGCAAAAAAAACCTAATAATGAAATTCTTTTACTCATCTGGCCAGGTTTTATGCCAATATTTGAGTATTCAAAACAAAAGGACCGTTCTAAGATGGAGCACAAGTAAGTGCAACACATGAGGAGTTTACAGCACAAAGACGTTGGCCCCAGGGCATGGGTGAAGCCCACGTATCCTCCTTTTAATTATTGGGCGCCGAGATCAGAACACAACAGTAAATAGTAATCGTAGGACTGTAGCAAGTTCAAGAAGGCAGCTCACTACCATCTTCCCAGAAATAATTAAAAGTGGGCAATAATTCCTGCTGTAGACAGCAACATCCACATCCTGTGAATTAAAAAAAAAATCATAATTTGGAAACGTCTCAGTACACTGTCGGGACAGTCATCAGAAAGAAACTGACACTGAGCCAAAGGAGGCGTTTGAACAAATGACAGAAGGCTTGGTCAAAAAAGTATGCTTTATGGATGGTCTTAAGGGAGGAGAGAGAAACGCAGAGGGTTAGGGAGGGAATTGCAATGTATTGAACCTAGGCAGGTGAAGACTCAGCTGACCATGTAGGGTAATAGAGAGAATGGTTGATGCATGGAGACCAGAGTTGACAGAATACAGTTCTCAGAGGGTTGTAGGACTTTATAGGTTTAGAATTTGAGAGGCTATGAAGGAATTTAAACATGAAGCTATAAATTTCAGATTGTAGTGCTGCAGGATCAGGAGCGAATATCAACCAGTGAGCATAGAAGAGGTGAGTGAACAGGACCTAATGCAGCAGTACATACAAGTGGCAGAGTTTTTAATAAGATGAAGTGTGAAGGATGGGAGACCAGCAGAGGTGCATTGGATTGAGGGGTTCAGTGTTTACGGTGGTTATCAAGGGGAAGGGAGATGCTTATCTTGGTATCAAGTAGAAATGGGGCTTCAAAACAGTTGGGTTTCCATAGCTAATGGATTCAGGTGATGATGTTGAACTGATGTGAATTGTGGCCAACCCAGGATGGGGTATCATACCAATAGTTTGACAACACCGTGATAATGAAGGGGGTTACGAGACGTGACAGATGAGTGCAACTGTGTGTCATTCATCTTAGTGCATGTGGAATATTAACTCTTGAGAATGGGACTGGGCGGGGTGATTAAAATTGTAAAAATAAAAATGGGAAACCCAACCCCCCCTGCAAACAATCCCGCACGAAGGTTTAACTTGTTCAGATTGGGTGTTGTCAAGTAACCAGCTTCACAAGGGACCATTGGTCATCACATTAAATGTGTGAGGCTGCGTGCTTCACTTTTCAGCAGCAATGCTTAACAGATGCAGGCTGAGGTTCCTGGGGCTTGAGAAGGCATCCAGAGGGCATTACAATTGATGGAGATAAACACACATCCTTTTCCAACACCTCTTTTGTGGGTTGAGCCAAGCAGGAGATCTTCCCTTCTCTCACCAGTCCGCCTCCCCCATTGCCATTGGTTAAGTCTTTCTGTTGTGATCCCCTTCTTTCTCTCAGATCTCTATACCATCCCACTATCTCTCTTTCCCATGTCTGTGCTCTCTCTTTCCCCCCCCCTTCTTCTCCATTCCACAGCTTTGAATTTGTACCGCTGGCCTCCTCACTCGTACCACTTGATCTGATTAGCGTGAAATGTGCTTCCAGAATTCTAATGAAGTCCTGTCGTTAAATTTAGCACATTCTCCATCCTTCCAATGTTTCCAGGCTTCCAATTTTCCCAGCCTTCCCATAACATTGGGGATTTGCCTTTAGACAATTAG